TTTTTTATTATTTTTATTTTTATAAGTCGACCTCAAGAACACAAAGCAGGAGGAATGAGCCATGCCTCTTTTTTCAGTTTAGTCAAAGGGGTACTTGACAAAGAATGAAAGCACAGCAAAATTTAAGGTATCATTTCCACATTGACATCTTGCCCCCAAACACCATGCAGTGCGAAACGTCACATCCCCGTCATGCAAGAACATTAAAACATATGGTGATTTAAAATCCTGGTGTTTATTACGGGGTGTTTAATGTCTCTATGGGGCATGCTTCCCCTTTGGACTAAAAGTAAAGAAATATGAACACAGAGCAGTTAAGTCTCCTCACGGCAAGAGAAATGTAAAAACACTTTTTTATTTAGAATCCATTTTTAATGTTTTCTGTGTGCTGCTACGGTGTCGTGTGGGAAAGAGTAAAGACGTGCAAACAAGGCAGGGAGAATGCTTCCTGTCTCACAGCACAGACAACACGTGGCGACTCCACATCTAGGTCAAGCGGACGGGCAGCTTTCCCTGAGGGGTAGAACCACCCCCCACCCAGTCCATTTCAAGCAGGGTGCAAAAAATCTAGTTTCAGGGGCTTTTATGGTTAATTATGTATTATAAAACCCCAGGCAGTGCAGTCACGCCTCCCGGTTCTAGGACTTGATTTCTCTTGTGAGATAAATTTGCTAAAAATTGGAAGACCTCAATCGAACATCATATTCTATTAGACTGAAGGAGAACTATCCTAAAACTTCATTTGGATATAGCAGCTTTTCAGTGTAAAGTGACTTTTGGATAGGCATCTTCTATACCTAAATTACTCATTGAATCATCTGTGTGGCTATATCAAAATATTGGTATATCGTCTTTCTTACGAAGAGATATGTACCCATGAATTTAAATATGGCTTGAAGTTGTGTAGCATCTCTCTTCAAAAGACTTAAGAAATACATCTCCTTTTCATCTGTTTCATCTCAGTGAAATGGTTCGTGATTTGAAGGCTACCTAATAAAGTTATCATAATTACATGGGAAGAAATTGAGAGAGAAAGGTCAAGGGACTAACCCCTAATCACTAAGTTGGGTCTCTGACATCTGACATCACACGCCTTAAAAGGAAAACAAAATAAACACTCTCCATTGCTTTAAATCTACCTCTTTCATCCAAGGGTCTCACTGCACCTAACGAATAGTATAATTTCCAGAAGGCAACAGAGGAAGCACGGAGCGATCAGGTTAAACTCCAATTCACAGACACCCCACCAGCAGGTCGCTGTGGGCCCTTTAATAAGAGACTTACTCAGAGGATAGGGGCCCCTCGGCGTTCAAATGGATGACTTAGCAAAAGAGCCGCCACGGCCAGCTGTGTGCTGAGCCCTGTGCGGAGGGGGCACACCCTCCGGGTCAAACTGCGTGTTTCCCTAACGGGCTCTGCTCTGACGGCAACTTCTCAAGGTAGCAGGCGAGGCTGGAGCTGAGTCCCGAGACTCAGGCTTCAGTTCCGGCTTCACCACTTGGGGCCCTGGGCCAGGCACTTCAATCCACCATCGCCCCAGGGGGCAGCAGGAGGGGCAGAGATGGGGCCCTGAAATACAACAACTTGCAAACTACAAAGTGCTGTATAAAATCTACAACTAAAGGACACGGGGAGCACTAAAGGGAGGGAAGAGCATGCCTTTAACCTGCATTTGGGTGAGGCAAAGACATAAAGTGTAACTATAATGTTTGTACCCTCACAAAACCCTGGAATAATAAATAAAAAAAAAAAATTTCAAAAAAAAATATATATATAAGGCATGAGTTTCACATGGAAATCTGATTCCAAACACAGTCTCTTTCTTAGGTTTTCTGGAGACTTTGTAATCCTATACTTTGGAATTCTTTCTAGGCCTTTGATCCTACTCTTGAGATTTGAGCTGCTGTGGAAAAACTAAGGATTCTTAAAAGCAACAAACGCCCTTGAAATGCAGAACTGACCATCGGCCTCAGTGTGTGTTTGCAACATATCAACCAGTGAGAGTATCGCAGCAAGTTTGGGTCTGCAGGCTAAGAACAGAGAGAAGAGGTCCTCTCCACAGCCCCAAAGAGGAATCTTCTCTATACCCTCATCCTTAACAGGTTCCACAGCTTTGGATCTACTTATGCTCAGACATTCTCCACTTCCTGAGTAGCCACGGTTCTGTGTCATTCCACAGACCCTAGGGCTATAGGACTGGGTAGAGGAGTCTCCCCTTAGATCCCTTGAAACCACCCTAAATCCACTTTAGAGATGACTAGCAAGCAATAAACTGGAAGTAATCCAGTTTTCCCAATATCCTTTAGACCAGAAAACTTGAGGTCAAGAGAGGCCAGCCCATGCCCTCCTACATTGGTGTCACTCTTCCTCTCACGCCTCTCTGTTCCCCTTCCCTCTTCTTATGGCCACAGCTGAGGTTGAGAACTCCCAGATGCAGCCCCCTACTTCCTAGCACAGCCTGGTCTGGAGCAGAGGCATTTACAGAGGGAAAAATCAAAATGAGCAAGCAGCTTGGGTCCAGAAGGGCAGGGTGCAAAATTGTGCAGTTTAGCTTAACTTTCATTTTGAGAGCCTGCAAAGTAACCTTTAACGATCAAAGCAAGAACTTCTAGACTAACTTTCCTGAAGTGTCTTTGAAAAATAACTTAAAGGCTTTGGTAAGTAGTCTCATCATTCTTTTTTGCCTTTAAGTCTGAATGGTACTAAAGGAGTTTATACCAAAAGGTCAGTTAAAATAGATGTTAATGAAAAACCAAAGAAAAGCAGTCAAATGTATTCACATGCCCTGGCCAAAAGTTTCTGGAGCTCGTCAATGTAGGAAAACTATTTGCAAGTCTACAGGTTGATGTCGCAAACCAAAGAAAAATGGGTGGAAGAGCCCTCTGTGTCATAGTGTTATTTCCACCATTATCATTTCTCCTTCCTTCAACACTGGTCACGCTGTGAATCCTAAACAATCAACCTTCTCGCAGTGGCTAATCGCAGAAAGGAGCAATGATAATTTCCAGAGTAAGGAAGGAGGTTGAAGCACTGTCCTCTCAAATCAAAGCATCAGGGACCAATCTGCAAACTGGAATGTGACTATCTCAGGTGCTTCCAAGCTCCCCTTGGTGTAGTACCTAAATGTCTGCTGGGCCGAACGGGCTGATATGGCCTTTTATCTTAGAGAAGCTTCTAGTACTACAACTCGCTTCCTGGTTTTTTTTTTTTTCTTTCTTTCCTTTCATAATTTTAAGGTTGTTTTTTGTTTGCAGAGTATTAAGACTTCTTAGTAAGGCTTGGGGAAATATTCAACAACTATTTCCACTTAGTTTGCAGATACAATTCAGGGGTTATTTCCATTTGAATGTCAAGCCACACTTTGAAGGTATAAAACAAAATGTGTCATATCAACGATTTGTTGGGGGCAGGTAGGGCCAAAACAGGTTCTTGGTGGCTGAGGTTACTGTAATGGTGAGAAATATTCATGGTGATTAAGTGAAACTTTCATATCTTTCCACTATGGGCTTTCTTTAACAACACCCCCAAATTGCTATTAGTCTTTAGCCAAAGATGACATTAGTTGTATTTCATTTGGTCTAAGGTTTATAGGCATAAATGGCATAAAGCTTAAAATTTATGTAATAGAAGGTACAACCTAAGATAAAAGTCCTTTTCTGGTTAAGAGAGTAACTTACCAATGATAGAGAAATCTAAGAACTCTGGGAGAGATGGGTGTGGGGGGAGGTGGAAGAAGAAAATGAAAAATTATAAATACATGCCCCAATGTTTTCCCCACACGATTTCCTGAGCATTCTTCATACGTTATAGTGCAACATAATAGCTCCAATGAACCAATGGTATTTCTATTTTTCTCAAGCAAAAAGTATATACTTCAAGTACATACTGAGCAAAACATATAATAGTATATCATCTTTTAAAAGACTAGTAATTTGAACATCTATAAATATATTTAAATAACAAACATTATAGATAGCTATTCACATAGCACACAAAGTGACACATAAACATACAAAAATAAAACAATCATGTTTTAACTCTTGTTGTTTTTGTTTTTCGAGGTTTTTGTTTTGTGGTTTTGTGGTTTGTTTATTTTTTAGCAAAGATATTAAAACAACTCAGATGCCAAAATCATCTTGTCAATAGTGATCCCAGGAAAGCCAGGATGTAAATTCAAACTGTAATTAGGCACCACACCCAAGGACAAAAGCAGCAAACACTCCTTACTGGACTTACTAGCTCCTATAGCTGTGTAGGGAAGCGAGGGAGGAGAGGTCTCCACCTGTGAAGAGATAGTTTTCTCTAGGTGTTAGGAGGAAAAGAAACATTAATCAGATCCCCCAACCTGGGTAAAGTGTGAAAATACCAATCTGTCCTTTGAGTGAGTGGAATATAGAACATGCTTCCTCCTTCAGCTCCCACGCACCACTGTCTATGAAGTATTTCTCGACAAGTGGAAAAGGCACCACCCTTCTGTACCAAATGTAAGAAATATTTGTTCCACAAAACCACATTCGTCCTGCTCCAGTTGCTGCTATAGAAAACATTCCTCCACTCGAAAAATGATTTTGGCGCTCGGCTACCCAACCAGTGGAATATGTACATTCTTCTTTCAGAAAACAGAATGCTTCTACGAACAATTATTCCTGGTAAAATCTGCTTTTTGTACACAGATTATTGTAATTCTCATGAGAGCAAGGAACAGGAGATATATTTCTCACATCCCACCTAGAGCCTAGCATCACTTTGCACTCCCAGTAGGAACACAAAAATTGTCTGTTTAATTAAACTCAATCATTCCAATGTCGACAGATGTGTTACAATTGGAATGAGGAGTCCTGCTGTATTTGGTGATTGTCTTCATCTAAGTTTCATCTTTAGAGGTGGAGTTGATGCTCAAGGGACTGGGTTTCAGTTTTCCTTTTAAGGAAAAAATTTAAGTTCTTGTAACATCTTGAAGAGTTGCTTGTGGTAAAATATAAGAGGAGAAAATCCTGGCTTTTTCTCAAATAGAATGTTCAACACAGGCTGAAGACGGTGGTTTCTTGAATTCCTGGGGGGTGTCTTCGGGCGCAGGTGTGGCCCGCTGCTGCTGATAGATGTCCTGGATCAGCAGGGTGTTCATGACCTTCCACTCTCGGTACTTCCTGGCTGTCAGCTTCGGGTCGTCCAGCAACTGGTTAATCATGGCCAGATCGTGTTCTTTACACTGTCCAAGGAGAAAAAGATGAGGGAAAGGGGGAAGTTTTGAGTATCTTAATTTCAATAAACTATCTTCAACTACCATTTTATGAATACACATATACATCAATCATAAAATTATCAAAGCTTTTTTGCACATTAATATTCTAATCCCTATACCAAGCCTAAGAGATATGGCAGGACATCCATTTACAAATGCCAGCCACAAAAAAGTTTGGTATCCTACCCTGGAGTTAGTGGAAGAACTAGGTATATAGCCAGGGACTTGTGCATTGCTCTTCTCTGATCAATCCATTATTCCACCGCACAGTAACGATTCTATCTTGGTGTGAGCATTATTCCTTCTACAATTTACAGTTTTATATAAGCATTTCTTTGACCATCCAAAATTCACTGAGTAAAATTGGGACATAATGCTTTACCTAATACATAAGACAACATGAAGTATATATTTTTATTTTTATTTATTAAATTATCTTAATTCATTTTTTACTCAACACATGTATAGAGAATAAATATACAAGCTATCTCTTTATTCAAAGAAAAGACTTGTAAACTTCTATCAAAACAGTACACATTCCAATAATGTTAATAGAGTAAACATTTTATTACACCCTACCTTCCCTGTAACAAATGACACACATTTAAAACTGTTGGCTATTCCTCCTTCTTGAATACTTCCATCGTGCTGCCCCTGTGACATATTCTCCTGATAGTTCCCATCCTACAAGGGCCGCTTATTCTCAGTCTCTTTTGCTAGTCCCTTCTCATCACTCAACCTCTTCACGTTGGCATGTCCCAGAGCTCCAGCCTTTATCCTCATCTCTACTCTATCTGTATTCATGCTCTTGGTAATCTCATGTAATCTCGCCCACTCCTCCTACATGCTGATGGTCCCAAATTTATATCTCCCCTTATCTGTCCCCTGGACCCCATGCTTGTTTGTCTAAACTTCCTCTTCGGCAGCTCCACATGGACACTTAATGAGCATCTCAAATATAACACATCCAAAACTAAGTTTCTCTTATTCTCTGCACCTCCCCTTCACTCCCAATACCCACCAAGCCCTGCTCCAACCATAGTCTTCAACAAAGCACCTAATGACAACTCCATCTTTCCAGTTGCTCAAGACAGACACTGAAATCATCCCTGACTTTTTCTCTCACACCCAATTCAGCAGCAAATCCTGATGGTTTGACCTTCAAAACATGTCAAACTATGCCACACATCTGTTCGAACCTTCCAAAAGTTTCCTATCTCATTGCAAGTAAAGCCAATGTTTGCAACAGCAACAAGACCCTATAGAACATGACCCCTAGAGGCTCCTCTGGCCCACTGATGCTCTCACCACCCCCACCGCCACTATACCCCAGCCACATTGACCATGTTGCTCCTCCTTAAACATGTTAGGCACACTCCCACCCCAAGGTGCATGCATTTCTGTTCCTTTTGTCTGAAATATTCTGCCTTAGATAACCTCAAGACTCATTGCTGATTGGGTACAGTGGCTCATGCCTGTAATCCTAGCACTTTGGTAGGCCAAGGTGGGAGGATTGCTTGAGGCCAGGAGTTCAAGACCAGCCTAAGCAACATAGTGAGACCTTGTCTCTCAAAAAGAAAGAAAAAAAAAAAGCTGGATGTGGAGGAATGCACCTGTAGTCCCAGCTATTCAGGAGGCTGAGGCAGGAGGATCACTTGAGCCCAGGACTTTGAGGTTGCAGTGAGCTATGATCAGGCCACTGCACTCTAGCCTGGGCAATAGAGTGAGACCCTGTCTCAAGAGAAAAAGAAAGGACTCATTCCTTTATCTTTTTCAGATTTTACATAAATTCTGTCTTTCAAAGAGGACTTTCATCTCTTTCCTAATTAAAAATCAATCCCTTAATATTCCCCATCTCACCTCTTTTCCATTCTCTGTCATCCATCTGCCTATCTATATT